AAGTAGATGGGAAGTGGATGGGAAGTGGATGGGAAGTAGATGGGAGCCAGGAGTCAAATAAGGGCGTTTTATAAATGTCAGTTCGGGTAAATAATTTTCCTATTCCATGCGGACGGATAATGTTGGGCTATCAGTGGCGGTTCCGACCACCCTGATCCTGAAGTCTACATTTATTTCTATGCTTGTTGAGACTTCTATCATCCACCCAGCCTCGTTCTCCAGCCTCGTTCTCCAGCCTCATGCTCCAGCCCCATCCGCCAACCTCTTCAGCATATCCACCGACGTATAGTAACCTCCTTGCGTGTTGTAGGCATTTTAGTAATTGATTCAAACGGTGGTGACGGCGTTTTATAAGTAGTGGTTAACGACGATCAAGTTAAAAGAACTACCTTCTGTGTTAGGACTTTTCTCTACTATCAATACGTTCTTACTCTGATTTGTGTCTGGGGGAGCAACCACACGGACGTTTTAGCCCTCAGTATGCAGTATGTCACTTTTCACTGTGTTAGGTACATGCAAAAATTCCCTGTGCTCCAAGCTCTCCTCAACATTGTTATGGAATTGCTACCATGTCCATCTCAAGCACCTCTCTGTAAGGAAAGGTTAGATAATACCAAAGAGCTACAGCACATATTAGAAACTCACTCGACGTCAGAACGAATCACAATCTTTCTCCCTGACAATTGAGAATGCTTTTAGTATAGTGCTTTTCTCTTCATGGGAGCAGCAGTACTCTCTATTCCTCAACTTATCCTCTGTCACCCATTCATATCCGTGATACATTTCCCGGTTGATCACTATCTCATCCTCCCACCCTGGCTCTTGCGAAGAAGTATGAATAATGAAGGGAAAGTTAAGTTGGTCCGTAGACCATCGAAGAGGAACATCGTAAACAGTCTTTGACAGTTGCAGGCCAGTCTGGGTAACAACCAGTCGTTCAAGAGCAGCTTGCAAGCTCGCATCTTCTCTACTGACCGTATCTGTAGGTGCCATCCAAAACATGGGCATATCCTCAGCAACAGTATACTGAAGAAGAAGAACACGAGGTTGAAGGTAACTAGTCGCTTCGTGGTACGACCATAAAAATATAAGGGCACTTATATTGAGTTGATAGTAAGTGCCGTCAACCTTAAATCGACCACACGAAGTCTCCAAGGTGTGAAGACTTTCACGCAAACCAAGACGGAGGTGTTTATATGTCCATTCTGATACATCTGCCACTGCTAGCCATGGATCGCTTCTATATGGTAGAAGAAAATTTTGGATCTTTGCCGCAGTGTAATAATTTGAAGGAACCTTATCTGCGAATACCGTAGACAGATTAGCGATGTCACTTGGGCTCCAGTTTGGAGATGCTGGTTGGCTCAATGGGTAGATGGAGCCATTCGGCGTTTGCGTTGCCATGAAATTTCTGTCTGCAGGCTCCGAGTACATAAGAAGAAATAGTTCTGCTATGGCAAACCATCCAGCACAGCCAAGGAAGACTTCCATATCTACCCGACCTGGGCGTTTCAGAGCGGGATCAAGTTGATGGATATGATTGGTAGTCATAATTAAAATACGACCCTCATGTGCAGATACACCATCAATGACATTGAGTAATCCAGCAAGCGTGATACTATTCAATGGTCGCTTGCGGTCTTGGGCCTCGACAACAATATCTTCTTCGCTATTCGTCTCTTCCGATATTTCGCCGAAAGGTTTCTCTGACTTCCTTTTCTCAATGCCGGCCTGATCCACATCTTCGAAAAGAACAATACACCTCTTTGGGAGACATTGAAACAAAAAAGCTAAAGCGTTGTCGTCCAGGCCATTCACAGTAAGGTCTATGACATAAATATCAAGTTGAACCAGACTGGCAATGGCGAGGCAGAAGCTTGATTTTCCTGTACCGGGAGGGCCATGAAAAAGATAACCCCGTCGATACGGGAAGTCTCTCGACTGGTACCATTTCCGGGTACTAGGGAGAAGATAATCTTGGACATCATTGATAATCTGGTTCTTCAGGTTTTGTTCCAAAACAATTGTTGATAGTCGTCGCGGTTGTTTGGACATAGCAAGTGTCCATCGGAAATCGGAACCGTATTTGAGAGCTCGACGTATTGCCAGAGTATCGTTATCCTTTTCAGCAACAGATTTTTGGATGTCCGCGAGAAAGTCTCTAAGCGCCTGTTTATTCCACGGGGCTGTATAGAAATACAGCTTTTCCCCTCTCGTAGCCCATGAACCGAAGGTGTCTTTTTGTGGTTGCCGACTAAAGGCGAACAACCGCCTGTTGTATTTGAAGAAACTAGTCTGGAAAGCCGCAGGCGTGAAGTAAATTCGACCCAATTTATCTCGGAGCTTTTGTTCCATCCAAAACTCTCGCGGATTCCTTTCCAGTTTTGCATTATCTTTACTGGAAAGATTCTCTTCCTTTTCATCTGTGTTCCAAGATGGGATAACGTCCAATCTTGTAGCGGCCGTAGATCGTTGTGTTTGAGTCAAACTAGGATGGCTCGAAATCCAGCGGATGACTTGATCGTACAATTCGTCCCGGTACGAAATCTCAACTGACTCGGCAAGGCGCAGGAGTAACGATCGAAAACGTTCCCAGAATACCTGTAGAGCGTACATGCAAAAAGCTATAGATGCGGCGAAGGCAAGCACATACGAGGACATATCGGTATTAAAACAGGAGATAACAAGATGATGAAGCAAGGCATAGCCAGGAATAAAGGCTTCGGGTGTCACCTGGTGCAGCAGCATACCAGGCACGACACTTGTGAAATTCATAGCAAAGGTCATAGTATTCGGCTTCTGTGTCTCTTGGGAATATAATTCTCTTTTACTCGATGAGAACAACCTTACTTATAGGTCATTCCATAGGCTGACTGTGTCCATGATAGAAAAAATAAAATAAATAAACAAACGAATAAAAAAATGACAAAGAAAATAAAAAAGTAACATTAAATTATATTTACGAGAAAAAATTAAAAAAAGAAAATTTTTTTTTAAAAAAAAAAAAAAAAAAATTTTTTTAAAAAAAAAAAAAAAAAAAAACTGAAAGATACAGGAAACGACATGAAAAGTAACGTAGAAAAAAAAGATAATACTTAGAGTTAGACCCGATGTGACAAAAGGTGCAGTACACGTAGCATTTTCCAGTGCTCGGCTACATAAGCCACGCATATTATGTATACAATAAGGGTTAGACTGGGATATTGCGTATCTCTTCAATGCTAAATTCCAAGAATAGTAAGTACAGATCATATAAGCACGGTCGTCCGGTATATCATTGTGTTACAAAGCAGTACGCCACCGAGGTATATTTCTAGCCTTCCACATATCCCCCTATTTCCGAGTGGGTAAATCCTAGGTAGTCCCTGTAAGCACTACAGAGGGGGGTATGCGAGGTACTGGTCTTGCTCTTTCTCCTGGGGAAGTATACATCATGATTACCAACAGTAAAAATGTAATTATATCAGGCTATCAATACTATTCCATACCTCTATCTAATACTCTCGTACTTCCACCCCAGATCCACATAATTTGGCCTTTCTTTATTGTCAGCCGACATAGCAAAAGCTCCCATGCCTTCTATCTGCCGCGCCAATGATTGACGGAGAATAGATAAGGAGTCATACAATGCAGAGCGTCGTCCATAATTAACCGCCAACTCTAGACCTTGGCTTACCATCACCATCTGTCCATAGAGATTAAATCCTTCAGCAATGCACTCGAGGGCTTCCGGCGACTCGAACCATAGATCTCTGATAAGTATTCGTAGACAACTGCTAGTTGAAGAAAGTTCATCCTGAAGGATGAGAGCAGTGTTATATTGCGACAGGACTTCAGTAGTTGATACTCGGACAGCTAAAGTCTCAATATCTTGAAGGGCAAGCCAAACATTGATTGATGCTGGAAACACGAGACGCATAGATAAGCTATGATCAACCATTTGAAACCTTAGCCTTGTATACTCGTGAAGGTCGTTGCTGGGTGGAAGCATAAATGTATGTAGCGCGATGATTTCGGTAAAGAATCGCCGCAGAGTTGTTGTTTCTTCGATTTCTGGTAAATCAAGATATAAAGCTTCCTTTGCTGTACAAGCTGCAACGGAAAGCATTGTCTGCTCGTCGGATAGAACATTCCTTGTGACGATCCCATGTAAAGCTTGCGCAATACGTTGCGCATTCAGATACACCGGGCTAGATTTTCTCTGGCCAGAGAGAATAATCTGGACACCTAGTCCCAAGACAAAAGAAACCGGATCGATAGAAGTCAGGAGAAATGTAGCGAGCGATTGAACTGCATCTTGATCCAGCCGAGGAACATATTTTAATCCTATCCAACCAGAAAGACAAAACTGTAGATTCGTCATGCACCATAAAAGATTCGGTGGCCCTCTCCTAATAATAAGACTCCTTATCAAGCTATTATCAGTAACATAGAAATAATAAGAGCTAGAATCTACTTACTCAAATGCAGTAGCGGCCTCCGGATACGACGCATTTAATTCCATGATGATTCCACACGTAGATATATAAAACTGGAACACAAATAAGGCGTGATGAGGTTAGTTAATATATATACTACTCTCTAGGCTGCCAAATGATCGGATTCCACTGTAACAGTGAAATGGAAAATTCCCTCCTATTTGAACATTAGCAATCTTTCAGGTAAGCCCTAGACAGGGGTTTGCATACAACTAATTTCTGGACGGGTTGTCGAGCTGCTCTACTTCTTTGATGATAATTTCTCTCTGGCTTGGTACGTTTTTAGCCGGAAACAAATGTCTCTTCAGAGTATTGGGCTGATGATCACTAGAAACGAAATCCTATGTCTGTTCATACATCTTGTCCTAAGAACATGAAGACTCATAACCATCTAAGCGTATCGCTCGGGGGGTGTAGCTGCATTTAAGGTGAAGACTGAAAGTGTGCTCATGTTTTGGCAGATCTCGGAACAAAGTAGCCAGCATACTCTCATCACAGCCGACTGCGCCCAGACTGAGCACGTATATGTCCAAATACAGAAAGCCACCAATTTTATTAAAACAACAAAATAAGAATACAAAATTAAAGAATAAACTAGCCTTCCACTGTCAAAGAGTGATACTATTGACTTTCTCCATCCTCTTGCCTCGACCCGATACAGTTTGGCGGCAGAAAAGCTCTTCGTTGCTCCTCTACCCTAAGCACCTCTTGCATGAAACTTTTTTCGGCCGCTGACAGTTTGAGATTGGTATGATTCATTGACTCCGATACTGAACGAAAAAACTTTCCTTGGTTGTTGACTCCGAGGATAATATAGTAAGGCGGTTTAACCGCACCTCTGCCGGAAATGGAAGGTCGTGATATACCAGTAGACGGTGGTATAGGGTTAGTGCCGGATACTGGGTCTTTCACTGCCCCTTGAACAGCCCTCCTGACTACTCTCACTTCTGCTTTAGGTGTACTAGAAAGGTTTCCCTGACCTGACTCTTCTAACTGTCGAATAAACAGTATTGGATACAGGATCTTCTTGGTCTCGGCGGGGATCTTAGGATAAGAATTTATAGCATCCATTGCATGGATAGCTCGGAATCCTTCTGAGTGTAAGTCGAATATAATATACACAATGAATTCAATCGCTTCTGTTCATAACTGTATCAGAGCCTGAATAAAAATTGTAGAAGCAAGTCTTACCGGCTTTTCTATACTGATTACGATTGAACCTTATAGCGGGAGGCCACCAACTCGGGGTTATTCCACGCTTCTGCGTGTATATATATCCATGATATGGTTCAATATACCTCAACATGCAAGATAAAACCAGCCTTAAAGGTCCAAGTGCTAACGTCTGAAGCATCTGGCGAGACCACTGTTGCTGGGTAGACTTGGAGTGATTCACCAATATTGAATATCCCTTTATGTCATCGCTATATGGCACCTCTTTATTCGGTATGTCTTGGGGAAGGTATATCTCCGGAACCTCAATTGTTGTAGACTTGTCTATTACCCTGTTAATATAGTATATTGTGCCCATTTATTGGAGATACTCACCCAATAGCCTGTCATTGAATTTCTTTTCATATTCTCCTATTGAGATAAGGGCATCTAGCAACTGTTTAAATCTCGATCCTTGTAGCTCTTGTACCCTGTTTACAGTGTCGCGCAGGGAGTCTCCAACAGTGTTGTTCAAGGCGCGTATAATATATTTATAACAGCCTACAAGTAATCAGCACGAGTTTTGGTCAATATTATTAGACATAATATATACTCACTGGCTCTATCTGACCGTATACCCCCTTGAAGCACAGCAGCAAGAGCTGTAAGTTCCGTATCAGACATTCTCTTAAGAAGATTCTGTCGGGTCATTCGCATCTCGTCCGTATTCTGTAAAGGAACTATTCTACGAAGACCTATAATCACTATTAGTATAATAGAAGTCTCTGTTTTGACCACCATTGATACTTACTATGTACTGTAGTAGACATATTTCAGAGCTTAGGTGTTGTGTCTTGCGCCGTTGAAGAGGGGTTTTTGGCTGTTAAAGAATATGAAACTGGAACAGAGATAAGACGTGATGAGGTTAGTTAATATAAATACTACTTTCTAAGCAAAAGTACACAAGGCTGCCAAATAATCAGACTCCACTGTAACAGTAAAATTAAAATTCCTTCCTGTTTGAACACCAGCAGCCTTTCACGCAAGCTCTAGACAGGGATTTTGATGATGATTTCTCTCCAGCTTGGTACGTTTTTAGCCGGAAACTAATGTCTCTTCGTGGGAGTGATGATTCGTTGTCAAGATTCCTAGGTTTCCTCTGTTCCCCCGGCTCCTGTGGTATCGTAACCTCCTCGGCCCATAATGTCCGGTCCAGAGTATTGGGCTGATGATCACTAGAAACGAAATCCTATGTCAGTTCATAAATCTTGCCCTAAGAACATGAAGACTCATCACCATCGTACAGATTTTATTGATAAAAGCTAAGCGCATCGCCCGGGGGGTGCAGCTGCATTTAAGGCGAAGACTGAAAGTGTGCTCTGATGCTTTTTGTAGGAATAGTCTCCCTTCTCCAATCCATGTGTCACTCCGAGAGCTCTAAGTTCAACCGATCAGCTCTGTGGGACTGTGTAGGTCTATAATTGCGGAGTATTTTACTGACTCGTAAACGATCCTCAGTACTATGTAGGTCTCGGAGGTTCTAGAAGCACAGCCTTTGCTCCTCCTCTAAGCCCAAAGGGTAATATATCAACAATTGCTATGTTACATCGTTATGGCTGACTGCGTTGTACCCAGTGCCGCAAATCGAGCCCCGGACACAACAAGCTAACGAGGATATTGCGATCTACAGGAGAAGTGGCGACATACAAAATACAAACTACCAGAGGGTAATGTTGCCTGGGGGCTTGTTCGATGATTCCCTGTCGAGTACTAGGATTGTGCTCCTGCTGCAACCGTGGCGTCCCTGGAAGATGTGATGGTACGGTCCCACTTCTTCATATCAGAAGCCTTCCTTCTTGATGTTCTATACTATTGGACAACGTAAGCTATCGTTGATTTCCTGCTTGCTTTATTCTCACTTCGATATTTATATCGCTACAGGAAGTTTCCCCATAAACCATGGATCCTAGAATACGACCTTTCATTCCTAGATCCATCTAAATGTCTATCCTTTCAAGCTTTCTTCGTGACTCAGTGGCTGGGTCGGACCTGGTTTGGCGTACTTATCCGTTTAAGTTTGTTACACAGGGGTCTGCCAGGCAGTATGCCTATGTTGATGTTAGTAAATATCATAGAAGCGTGTGGTAGTGGGGCTGCTTGGGGAAACTTGCCCATAATGTCTCCATAATTCTTGCCGCATTTCGTGGAGATGATCGCGGAAAATTCCCAGAATTAGGCAAATGTAGTAAAGAATGCAAATGAGGGCTATACCAGAAAGTATAGTTAGGTACCACATTATATGCGCAATATTGAAAGGCAGATTTTATTGAAAAATAGTTGGTGTTGTATATACTGCTGTAGATTATTGAGCACCAAGAATAGTTGAGCATGTATTCAGCAGAGAACTACTTATTAGATTTGACATAACTCCATGTATACTTATAATGGTCAATAGAGATACCAAAATCGAAAGAAATTGTTTTTTAGACTCCAGGAATCCCTTCAGTACTTGCCATCAGCCACTAAGCAGATGGCTCCCCATGATTGCAGCGCTAAAGCACGGCTGAACCACTTTCTGTTCCATCCATCCACCGAGAGAAATGCAGGAGCATGTTTCCCACTTGGGCCATGATGTTCTAGAATCACCTTCTCCACCAACACAGGACAGTAAGTGGTAATATTATCATTGCCATCACTGGCCCTGACTATTAGCCTCTATTCGCGTCATTCCTCTCGGGATGGCCGGCACAACAGTGGAGAGCATTGTCTGTAAGGCGAGATGGTAATTCGTCTAGTCATTATTTTAGATTCAGTGATAGCTTGCGTGATTTCATGTGTTATGCGGTTGCAGCGCCATCTAGCAGAAATAGAACATACAGGATTTACTAGTACCTCTAAACTTGACCAAGGCCTTCAGCCAATAAAAATTCTCTCGAGGCTTACGGCGATAGCTGAGCTTTCAATACAGCAAAATGTGCTCTGAGTGGGGCTAATTAGAGTTCTGGGCTGCCTCAAGGGGAGGTCATACGGGGTATTGTAGTACTTTTGATCGAGACAGTTTACACTATATCTAGTCCTGGATGTACGTGACCTTGGCAATATAACAGATACTCTTTCGGCAGACCGAGATCCTATTAGAATATCCTAAGTTTTGCGCTATCCTCGTTTATCTACCTTGACTATGGTTGGTTGCTGGCCCGACAACACTGTATAATGTTTACTAATACCGTAAGGCTTCTCTACATAGAGATTTTCTTCTTTACCCAGCAAAATCAGCTATAATGGCCCTGATTATACAGTATCTTGGCTTTGTTGCCCTCGACGAGCTCATGTGCAGCAATATCAATCCGGAGCTCAGGTCTCTTGGGACGAAAGAGCTAGAGGATGAGGACATTGTCCAACTCGTCCACAATAAATTGTTAATTGACTATGCCCAAACCATGTCGAGCTATCTCACCGATGACGATCTACTCCTGCTGTCACTTATTACTTGGCAATTTGACTCATCAATGGGCTATTTGTCGCCAGTGCCAACTGCGTCGAAAGACACGCAATACGCAACGCCTTTTCGAGAACTCCTGCATTTCTTCGCACAATCATCGGATGAAAATTTCAATCATCTTACAGGAAGTTACAATCTGCTAATGAATCAGAAAATAAGCACGAAGGAGTTCCAGTACAAATTTACGGCGTTGGTACGCTCTCTCGAAAAATATTTCGAAAATGAATAGGCATCCATGTAATACCCCATTGCAAAAACATGTACTTCCACCATTACATGCAACTAATATACTGTCAAATAATCACTACTTTCTTTCTCAATCGTTAGATAAAAGGACATGATATGCAGCGATCAACACTTGCTATGTTACATCGATACGACCGAGTTCTACGCAACGAACTAAATTTGAACGAAATTAGCCACGGAATATTGCGATCTACAGGGAAAGCGGCGACAAAGTGAGAAGGTGAGGTGTGCAGCGTCTAGAGGCTTGTATAGTGTACTAGGATTCTGCTCCCGCTACAGCTGTGGCGTCCCTGGAAGGTGTAATGGTGCGATCCTACATTATACCTGCTGACCAATTGCTTGAAAGGCATAATAGTACTGGCTAGCCTAAAAGTCTGTAGCGTAAAGGCTCGGCTATGCAAGACACTCTGGACAACTTTCGTGGCCGCATGCACGACAGCGTCCCCAATCGCTTCTGACCCCCTCTTCCTTTTTACATCTACAACAGAATCGTCTCAAACGCATACATGGCAATTTCTCTACCCGGCCATTTCGATGGTTATCTCTAGCCCTCTTGAATACTAAAGGAAGATTATCCTCATTTAAGCTCTTCTCTTAAGTTTTATTAGCTAATGAATCCGATAGATAGATTTTATCTTACCATCTGGTACTTTCTCAGAACTTTCCTTCTTTCTCGGAATAAGTCCCTCCCTTTCTGCAACAGTATTATGGCGTTTTCTGTTCTTCTAAGGGCTTAGTAGACAACTTCTTAACAACTTCCGTAAAAACGTACAGGATTCATATTACTCGTCATGCAGATGACAAGGAATTGCACGTGCTTTGGGATCAGGAAAATATTTTCTCTTAAAGAAAGGCCGCACAAGATACAAAGTAAGAAAACCTAAGAGCCAGAGGACGAAAAATAGCACAAGGCTATTCATGGTTATCATGATGAGAATGTTAAAGGACAAGAAACCCTACCTTATATATTCGGGAAGAGGCTAACCACCGTAGTATTACTATACGTACGATATGTCTGCACTGCTAGGAGCTCGGCCGATGGCTTGCATGTATACACCTGTGAATGCAACCAACCAACCAATCGCCTATCACCAACAGAGAGTGCTATATTTTTTTAATGTTCAAAGCTCCTCAAGAGGGAGCATATATACTCCTATCTACTATCTACAGACCCAAGGGAGCTATATGTGGGATTCAATGCCAATGAAACCCGTATCGCCCAATATCAGACCATTCTTCCTTGGTCAGGCAGAAACCCAATTCCCGCCTTAATCCATCCTGCTCCTTCCTGTGAAAGCATGACACAGTGCAGCGCATAACCTCACGCTTCTCTCGGCACTTTACACTAAGCAACATAATAGGCTCTTGACCAGGAGGTGTAAGTATGCCTGCATAGCCAAGTATTTCAATTTGACCTCTGGTCGACCTATCCAGTATGGGGTACGTACGCCGTACCTGTTCCTATGAACTATACTTAAATCAGCCCGTCCAATCCAAGGCGCCAAGATAACAGTCACTTACCATTCCGGCTAAATCTGGATTCGGGAGAACAATCGTTTCTTCACTGTCCCTTGGCGTTGATTCCCCAGAGTGCTGTATCTCCAAAGAATGATCCTCGGATGGACTCGGTGCCCTTGTAATACTAGGCCATCCTACAGAAGGAGAGAGATTATCAGTATTCCCTAAAATATTACCCCCAGTATATTTACTGCATAGAGTGCATAGTTCGGTGGCTGTACCAGTATTTCGAACGAGGGTACTTCTGTCAGACGCACTATCAGTGGTCAAATCCTTGGTTCCCCCAATATCCTGACCACAGCCGCGGACACTGGTCCGCATGGTGGTGTGGGTTTCAACAGTGACAATTCCCCGATTGACATACGGGACAACAATGGTCTACCCAAAATGCCACGTTAGACATCTCCTAACTACCTAGTGGTTCATACTCACAGATGTTTCCTCATAGGAGGGCATCTGATCGGATAAAGAAGTCAGTTCGTCGGATTGTCCCCTCAGAAAGCGGATTAAGCGGCGCAAAGGGCGAGGTACGTGGGGTATGTGTTGTACGCGATTAAGCCAAGTCATGATCAAGAAAGATGCACGGCAATTGTAATTAGCTGTTGAAAGTCAATAGAGACCTGTATGGATCCGTGCCAAAATGCGGTGAGAACTTACAATCAGGACGATTGTGGTATTTTATAGATTGCTCCGTGCTCCTTTACATCTTGACCGCGGTCAATGCATTGAAACCTCCAAATACGCTGATAGCTAAGTAAAACCTTGGATATCTTGAACCGGTTGACAGGATGTATAGCCTTTGTGGAGGTCCAATTGGTCTACTCATCCGCGCAATCAGCCAATCGCGAGCCTTCGGGTGAAGTAGTGTGGGGTTAGGTGATTAGTTAATCCGATATCAACCAAGCTAGCCATTTTTCCACTAGTTCACTTGTCCACTGGTTCACTTGTCCACTGGTTCATTTGTCCACTTGTCCACTGGTTCACTTGTCCACTGGTTCACTTGTCCACTGGTTCACTTGTCCGCGGATTGACTGGTTCAAGTGTCCAATTCACCACGCTTAACGCATACACAATACTGATAAACAGAGAAATAATTACAGAAAGAGGTTCAAGATCAGGGAAGGTGGTTCAGGGCAAGTATCGTGCACCAATTTAATTAGTAATACAGATTATTGTTGCCTCGGCAGATTCTTCGAGCAACAGTCGAATAGTGAACGCACTATCACGATTCCGACCGATAATTAGGTAAACGTGCCATAGTCAACTTTATGCGGTTATACATTTCTTGTTCCATGTTTGAAAACACCTTTGCCTTATATAGCTGGATGTTGCTTATTCCTCCAATACCTAATACAGACTACGTAATAATTTCCACATAACAGTATATGCTCTCGTGCATAGTGTATTTATGAAGCAGGACCTAATATTCTCTTGAATAAAGTGACAAAGAGATGGAGCTTCTACAATATGCTGAGCGACATTTCGCTCAGCTACCACTCATTGGTCATTGGGCGGATGACAAAGCCACGCACCAATGGTTCCCGAAGTGGGGCAGAAGAAAAGTGAGGAGGGGCAACTGTCGTTGTCTGACTCCTGCAGACATCACGATACAATATTCTACTTGTAAAAGACCGACTTCAATAAGTTCAAGACTAGGCAAGTTCCTTATCTCACTCATCATCAATATATGATATTCTAATTCATGCAGAATCAACAGTACCTGTCAATATCTATACTTGCTAGCGTTGACCTTTTCTCGATAATTTTGCCAAAATGTCAAGTCAGTCAAACCAAAAGATTGATTTGACACATTTCAACTTTGAAAATCTAAACAAAGAATCGCTCGTGAAATCGGTGGAGGCAAAGACCGGCGAATCAGTCACTTTTGATGATGAAGAGGCTACCATTACGGACTTCGAGAGTGTTTCCTGGCCTGTCGCTTCCGCTATCCTAGTCAAAGAAAATGGACGAGGTGGCAGGATTCAAATCCATGAGCGGTCAGGAGAGTGCGTGTTGACACTGATGACGGGGCCTCAGTTTGATGAGAAATATTCTGTCGCTTGGCTGAAGAACGGTCAAAACTTTCGATTTTATGGGAGACCAATGGTTTGGTTTTTCAGGCCAGTCGGTGCATAAGCTACTCTGTAACGCACCAACTGTTCTCCGAAGGATAAAGACACATTGAGTTTCATGGTAACTTCTATGCTTGGACCGCCATACCAAGGGCATGTCATCTTCACATCGGATGAGCTGGCTGCTCGGCGAATGAGAGGAGCTAAGGCACGAATGTCATAGTCCGCTTGCTGGTCAGATATATCGCCGTCAGAAGACATTTCGCAAGAGTCAACGATGTGGAGGAATTCGTCCCGTTCGAGGGAAACGGTGGATTTAATCGGTTGGTCTAAAGGTAGACCTAAGTGGTGTTCTATGTATTGTCAACTTATAGCCCTCATTCATCTCTTCCGTAACTTACTGATGGCTGAGCCCAATTTCATGTTATCGTTGTCCTCTTGCTTTTTCTGGTCACGTACGGCGGACTCCTCATTACTGTGAGAGTTATCCTTCGGACCTTCAGGTCCTTTAATGTTAGGAGTAGAAGTAGAGTCATCTTGTCCGCGATATGTGAGCTTGAAACGCTGACACAAGTTCAACGCAAACCAGCTTAGACCTTCTGGTTTCTCCTTGCTAGCCCACCATGTCTTAAACCAACCAACCCATTCTTTCTCGAAGTCACATAGTGTTTTCAGGGAAATCTTGCACAGAATCAAAACAAAAAGGTCGGACGGAAGCTCTTGGTACAATATCCTAACGTTGGCCTGTGCCTTGACATACCGTCGTTTGGTGGTCCGAGGCATCTGGTTTGATACGGGTAGTCCTTTCAAAAGCTTGCAGTGTCGTTCAAAACATTGAATCTGAGACTTTGGGGGACAAGGTTTGGGTTTACCCACATATTGATTTCGCTCTGATTCTATTATGCTTCTGAAAGAAGTGAAACCCAATGTATGATAATCGGTGAAGGACATTAGTGTCTAGTTCCACGGAACATGCGTAAAGCCAGTCAAGAAGGGGTATAGCCAATGTCTAGAGTCCTGAGCGCACGAGCAATTGAGTGAACGAGTGGGTAAATGGACGAATGAACAAGTGAACAAGTGGAAAAGTGGAAAAGTGGACAAGTGGTGAAGTGAACAAGTGAACAAGTGAACAAGTG